GGGGAGCCGCCCTCTTCTGCGCACACCTCCCTGGCCCCTCTCCAGCTCCTCCTGGGCTCTGCTCTTGCGCAGGCCCTGAGCACAGCTGCAGAGGTGAGGGTCCTGCAGAAGTGGCTGTAGGCCTTCCCAGGAAGGGCGAGCCGTGCCCGCTGGATGCAGAGGCCCAGCTGTGTGTCCTCCCCTCCTTTTCCCCAATACCTGTCCTCTCTCTGCCAACCTGACCAGGTGTGTTCTGGTTTCCAGGTGAGACAAGTGAAGTGAGCCTCTACCAGGGCTGTGCCCTGAAAGTGTCTGTTCCCTTCTGTTCCTCTCAGGCCCTCCAGCACCTCCCCAAGATGTTACTGTCCAAGCAGGGGCCATGGCATCCACCATCCAGGTCTCCTGGAAGCCGCCGATGCTGACCCCCACTGGATTGTCCAATGGGGCGAACGTCACCGGCTATGGCGTATATGCCAAGGGGCAGAGGGTGAGTTCATGGGGTGGTGCCATCTCACAGGCCCAGCTCCTGCAGGGGCCACTCCTTGAGGGGAGTTTCCTCAGCCCCCCAGGCCCCTCAGCACTGCCCTAGGCCCTGCCCAAGTCAGTGTAAGGAAAACCCATGCCTTGCTGTCTCTTCCTGGGACAGCTTCCTCTCCATCCCCCTCCCCTCATGAAGACCTGCTCCACTCTGTATTCAAAGGCCACCTCTGGGTCCTCATTGCCCATGCCTGGCTCCCCAGTGTTGACAGGCGCCTGCCAGGCTGAGGCTAAGGCCAGAGGCCCGGCTTCCCTGAGAATCTAGCCCAACTGGCACATCAGGCCTGGCTCTGAGGAGCAGGTGTGTGCTGGGGCCAGAGCCTGCGGAAGCTTCTGTCCCCTGACCCTGGTCCCGGCCCTCCTCTGTCAGGAGCAGGATGAGGGACAACACTCGGGTGACTCGAGTGTGAGAGCTAAGTCCTCCACTGGTGGCTTGTTCTCCCACCGCTCCCTCCATGCAGGCCCCCTCCCCGCCAGAGCAGCCTCCTGCAGAAGAGGCCCAGCCCTGCCGTCTGCAGCGGGAGGCTGTGCGTTCCCTCTGCCCACACCCCGCCCTTTGGCTTTGGCAATAAGAAGGCTGATTGGGGCATCCTTCCATGGCCCCTGCCTCCGGTTCTGAACTGGTTCAGAGATGGAGGAAGAAGGCCCTGTCTCGTTGGCCCTATGGCTGCTGGCCCTGGACTAAGTGTCCCTTCCTCTGCCTTCTGAGGCCTGCTGGGCTCAGCTGGGGGTGGCCTTCTCTGTCCGCAGGTGGCCGAGGTCATCTTCCCAACGGCGGACAGCACCGCAGTGGAGCTCGTGCGCCTGCGGAGCTTGGAGGCCAAGGCCGTGACAGTGCGGACCCTCTCTGCCCAGGGCGAGTCCGTGGACTCTGTGTTTGCTGCCATCCCCCTCGACCTCCTGGTGCCTCCAACCCCCCACCCGAGAGCTGCGCCCCCACCGAAGCCATTACCAAGTGCCCCCGACACCAAAGACAAGCCCCTGTGTCCCCACACCAAGGTGGAGGAGCCCTGGGAGCAGAGCCGCACCCCCGCCCCGGTGCACGGGCACATGCTGGAGCCGCCTGACCTGCAAGGCTCCGGCCCTGGGCGGCGGTCGCCTTCTCCCAGCCGCATCCTCCCGCAGCCGCAGGGGGCTCCGGTGTCCACCACCGTTGCCAAGGCCATGGCCCGTGAGGCTGCGCAGAGGGTGGCCGAGAGCAGTAGGGTAAGTGGGGTCTGATGGCTTGTCCCTCTGCTCCCAAAGTTCATTGCATCCAGGCTGCAGGCAGAGACAGCGAGGCCAGGAGCACCCAGAGCCTGGCCACAGGTGCAGGAGGAGAGGCCCTGTCAGCCTTCGGGCATCTGTGCCTGATCCTCAGTCATAGTGTGTTACAGTGTAGCCATGGATCACCAGGTGCCAGGCACCTGTCTGTCGGAGAAAAAGCCTCTGACAAACCCAGACAGGCTTGGTTCTGGGTTAGGGGCTTCAACTGCTCGCTGGACACGGCTGGGGCCCTGTTGTCCAACTGGGTGCTCTCTTGGCTCAGCCACTTCAGAGTCCCAGGTATGCGTGTGTGTGTGTGCGCACACACCTATAAGTGCGTGGGCTCCACACGGGTGTGTGTCTGCATGCCCAGTGGACAGGCACACGGATGCACCTGTGCGCGGGCACATTTGCTTGCACCTCTAGGTGTAGTCTGGGCCACGGGGTACTGGGCTGTGGCTGGTCCGTGTTCCACATGATGTGCACTGGGACACATGACCTCAGGTGGCAGCCTCCTCTCCCAGGCACCACCTACCAGGGTCCCGGTGTTTGGGGTGATCCCCACTTTCTCTTTCAAGGAGGAATGGGGGCCATGGGCAGGCCTCAGCATGCCAGGTGGGCCTATGTGACCCTGGGTGTTGGTACCTGTGGTGGGACCCCCCCCCCCATAGCCCACCTCTGGGCAGCCCCAGGTCAGAGAGCCCAGGAAGGGCCAGTCCCCAGGTCAGCGCCAAGCATCGAAGGTGAGCCAGGGAGCTAACTTCCAGGGCACAGCGCCCAGAGGCAGCCTGAGGGCAGAGGCCCCCTACCAGTACCTTAGCTGGGAGAGCACAGGAATCCAGACTGTCCTGGGGATGCTCCTGAGTGTTCTATGGCTGTGGAGGGGAGGGCGTCTCAGGGTACCGGGTACAAGAGCCACCTGACGGGAGCTTTGGGCCAGGCTCCTGGGGCAGTGCCAATGCGGTAGCCTCAGCCCAGCCCGAGAGGCTCAGGGGAGCCCAGCAGCTAGGTCCACGGGCTGGGCAACAACTCTAGGCTCCTGCCTTCCGAGTGCGCCCGCGGGTCACAGTAAGGCCAGCAGGGTGACCAGAGGAGGGTGGAGGGTCCTTGTTGGGTGTAGTCGCCCCAGCAGAGGGAGAGATGACTCTGGGGCCAGCTGGGTCCCTGGGGGAGACACCAGGAAGTGGACCCTGCAACAGCTTTGGGGTGGTTGGCCCAGGTCCTTGGTGGGTTTGTCTTTGGGTGGCTACAGGGTCTGTGGCATGGAAGGCGTGTCCCTGGGAGGCACCCACATGACACAGAAGCCGCCTTGGACAACTTTAATCACTGGGCCCAGCCCTCATGACAGCCCCAGCCCATCTTTGTCCCCTTCTCTTTCCAAGCTAGAGAAAAGGAGCCTCCTCCCCGAGCGGAGCAGCCTGGGGCGCTGTGCCAGCTCTGATGAGGAGGACGGCTTTGCCTCCCCCGAGCTCAAGCGGAGGGGCGCCTCTGTGGACGACTTCCTCAAGGGCTCCGAGCTGGGCAAGCCGGTGAGCCTGGGCAGCTGCCGGGGATGTCAGGGACTGGGGATCTGCCCTAGGGCCCCGGGAAAGGGGCCATGCCAGCCTGCAAGGCAGCAGGCCACCAGGGTTTGAGTGAGGACAACTGGTTCCAGGACAATTTCAAAAGCCTGAATAGGAGGCCTGGCCCTGCCCCGCCCCACCCCTACTCCTCGCCCAGGCCCCACCCTGCCCCACCCAGTGCTGGAACTTGGTCCTGGGCAGTTTCCTGGGTCAGGCCAGGGCTGGACTGATACTAGCTGGTCTCGATTTAGACAAACCCTACTGTTTGTGTTCACTTCTGTCCATTGGGCCATGTTGGCTGGACACCTGCTCCATGCTGGGCACCACAGGGGATGAAAAACAAAACATCCCCCCCCTGCCCCTGCCTATCGGGGTTCACCTCCAGCGTCTGACACGCAGACAGCCTGAGAACCCCAAGGCCCTGTGCCAGAGCCCACTCACTCGGAGGCTGGGGCACCAGGACCACCCACTGCCACAGTGAGGGGGCAGTAGGGTGCCGTGTGCCCAGCCCAGCCTTGCTGCTCGCTGCTGGCCATCAGCCAGGCACTGGCTTCTCATCTCACGTCTTTATCTACAGCCTTACAATCATGCTGTTTGCATTTGTTTAAGCAGAAGGAACAGGAGGCCCAGACTTCTAGGATCACAGACCTTTAATCACTCTGTGTCCCAGGAGCCTGTGCAGCCGGGTGCAGGGCTGATACGGCCTCAGTGGCAAAGGGGCTCTGCTTAGATCCTTCACTCTACTGATCTTTCTCCTGTAGTTACCAAGTAGCTGCCATAGCTCCATCAATCACACCCTTATATGGTGACACCCCAAGCAGGAAGGAAAGGATAAATGGCCAGGAGACTTCCCACTACATCTTACTGAGTAGACTGAGGTCACAGGCCCTCCACCCCAGGACTAGGAGTCCTCGGAGCAGCTTAACAGTGACGATCCAGGGGAAAGTCAGACTTCCTATTGGCCATTGCATTGACCACGTCCAGCCTCACCCCTCACCTCTAAGGAGCAGCCCATGACCAACCCCTACAGGCCTCTGGCTGTGAGCCCCACAGAGGTGACAAAGGAGGGAGGGCCCACAGGGGATCTGGGCCCGCTGCAGGGGTCCTGGCATGAGAATCCACCCATCAGCACCCCCCTCTGGCCTGCAGCCCCCCTGTTGCCATGGAGACGAGTACCCCACGGAGAGCAGCCGGGGCTCCGACCTCTCGGACATCATGGAGGAGGATGAGGAGGAGCTGTCCTCGGAGATGCAGCTGGAGGACGGGGGGAGGAGGCGGCCCAGCGGCACCTCCCATAATGCGCTCAAGGTGAGTGGGGGAGCGGAGGGGGCACAGCACCCTCCTGAAGTCCCAGGTGGCTCACCTTGTCCCCTTGCTGGGCATCGGGCTGGCCCTGGGCCCTTGCCCTGCACCAGAGCCCACGGATATGGACTTGCTTCTTCCCACTGTGGAACTTTTGATCCAGGAGGTACCTGGAGCTCTGTCCTCTTTGCCAAGAGGTCTGGGTACAGGAGTTTAGGGGTCCACTTGGCAGCCCTTGGGGCACCCAGAGCTGAGCCAGGAGTGGGATCAGGAGGAACTGAGCAGAACAGGATGACTTCCGACTGGTCCACAGAGAACCAGAATCCACTCAAGAACCCCCTCGGGGTCAGCGCCGGGGCAGGGGCAGTGTGGCTGGGTGCAGAGCCACCAGTGGGGAACCGGGTGGGTCCTGTGTGGAGGCCAGGGAAGGGCTGGCCTGGGCATGGCCCCGGGGCCTATCACAGAAGGCCCAAAGGACAGGTGAGGCTCCCTTGGGAGGGAGCAGGGATCAGCCCCTGTACAAGGCCATCCGGGAGGCACAGGGAGGCTGCTCCAGGAGGTTCCAGCCCGTGATGCCTGGTTCACACCGTCTGCCCCATCTGCTGCTGCTGGGCCCGAGTTCTGGCTCACACACGATGTCCACTGGGCAGTGCAGGCGGACGGCCTGGGCCTGGGGCTCCACCCCAGGCGGGAGGCAGGGTAGGCGCAGCTACGCTCTGGCAGCTCCTGGCCCAGGTCAGGTGGCTGTGGGACCGCTGGGGTGTCAAGGATGGAAAGGGCCTTGCCCAGGCAACAGCCACCTTCCTCCAGGTACACAGGCCCTGCACAGTGGGTGGCAGGCAGAAGGCGACGTCCAACCCAGCTGCCCACTTGACAGCTTCTCGTGCAGACAAGACCAACTGACACTCTCCCTTGAAGGTCCCTGGGGGATGTCAGACCCCTGTGCAGCTCCTGCATGGTGGTGGCCCGTGGGGTTCCCAGCACCCAACCCCACCCCCAGCTCAGGGCCAACTCGCAGAAGGATTCACACTGGCCTTCCCATGGGCGCACCTCCCGGCTGTCCAGTCACCCACACACCCAGAGCAGGACCCACTGGGAGCACCTGGAGGTGGCTGGGGAGGTGTGTCCCTGTCCCACACCTTCAAGAGGCCTCTCCTGTTGGTGCAGAGGGTGCTGGGAGGCTTCTCCCTCTAGAGGGCCCAGAGAGGCCCTCATAGAGCCATGGCCAGGGCTTCAGGTCAGTGTCATAGTGGGGGGGAGGCAGGGTGGCCGCAGGCTTGCTACATGTGCCCATTCCATGACCGTCCTCCTTCTAAAAAGGTTTGGATTTCTGCATTCTCTTTGGAAACTGCCAGATACGGTTGGGGATCTGGACACAGGGGCTCATGGTTCCACATGGCAGTGAGTGGCTGCTGCCCAGCCAGGCTTCCTGATGAGGTCAGGCCTATGTCTGTCCCCTGCCTGAGCCTCACTCCCTCCTGGCCTAGAGGTCACTGGTGACCTCCCTGTACTCCGAGGTGGCCCCTCACCCTGCTGTTTGTCACAGGCATATGGCATTAGCAAAGGGCAGAAGCAGAGTATGCCCAACCACCTGGAGGGCAGCGGTGCCTGGCACGGTTGACCTCCTGCCAGGAACATCCCACCACACCCCAGCTCAAGGGCCCACAGCCCAGTGGGGCACAGGCCTCGTCTGTGCACCCCAGAGCCTTACGGCAGGGGAGTCCAGGGCACCTGTGCCGCAGGGCCAGGCAAGCAGCCAGTGCAGAGATGGGTAGCAGCGTTCCCAGCAGCAGGACGTGTAGGCCTTCCAGCAGGGCACGAGGCAGGGGCCCTACCCCCAGCAGAGAGAAGAAGTCATGTAGACATGGAGCCTGCGTCCTGCTAGTGCTTGGGAGTAGCCCCTGGGCATGGGGATGCAGGCACAGCCAGAGGACCCCTCTCCTCTGCAGTGACTGGGCATGAGGCCTGTGCCTGGCCTGTTCCTGGCCACAGAGAGGGTGTAAGCCCCCAGGAGCCTGACCTCACAAGCTTTCGCTTGAGCTGCCTTTGGGGAGGAGGGGAGGTCCAACTGCCAGGAAGGAAGGCAGGGGGCAGCCGGGAGCTGTGGCACATGGGGCGCTAAGCCACCTCTGGGCGTGCTGAGCCATCTCTGGGTATACTGATCCGCCTCTGGGCATGCTCAGCACCTGCTGCAGCTTCCTGGGGTCTTTGAGGACATAGCTGCAAGCAGTAGGCACAGGTCTCCCGACACTCTGGGCACCTACCACGTAGAACACAGCTCAGGGGCTGAGAATATTCTGCCTGCTCCTCTGCGTCTGGGCTGTCACCTCTCTCCTGGTTCACCTGCATGACATCTGCTCCCGATGGCCTGCTGGCTTTCCCGTGCACTGTCCCTGCCTTTGCTGGGCATAGACACCACCGCTGTTCCACTACAGAGCCCGCGGGCGTGAGCCCCGCCTCGCCAAGACTAACTGTGTATTTTCTCTCCCTCCGGCCTCGTCTGTGTTTGCCGCTGGCCACTCGCCCTGCCCTTAGGAGTGCTATAAGCCCAGGAGCCCGGAAGGCGCCTGCCCGGGACAGCCCGAGTTCCCCCAGCAGCCCCACCGCAGTAAGAGGCTATGCAGTATCCCCGAGGTAGCCGAGGAGGACGCAGAGCTCGGGGAGCCGCTGCTGCGGCAGGGCTCAGGGGCACCCAGGGCCAGGGCCCTGCTGGCCATGGTGCCAGGGCCCATCCCACCCTGCTGGGAGCACTCGGCTCCGCAGGCCTCCTGGATCCCTGCCAAGCGCAGAGCCCCCGTGGAGGACCTCCTTCTGGAAGACAGAGGCTGCCGGCTTAGCCGCTGGGCCACCCGGAGCCCGGACAGCGGCCTGGACTGCGGCAGTGAGGAAGAAGAGTCTCGGTTTAGTTTCAGGAACACCACAGCCCAGTGCAGCCCAGGCCCCGGTCACTGTCCCTGTAGGAGAAGCCCGAGGCCTCTACTGGCCCGGCGGCGGACACTGACCCGGCAGAGCAGCATTGAAGAGGACTTTGGGGAACAGGTGGACCCCAGTGACGTCGCCAGGAGCGATGATGCCCTGCCCCGCCCGGAGAGGTCCGTGCCCAGGCAGCACAGCTGGGACGAGGCCGTGGAGCACGAAGACTCTCGGGGTGTCTGGAGGAGTGGCCTGGCTGTGCCCGACAGCAGGGTGGCTGTCCAGCACGCACGGCCTCCCCCCAGAGTGGCCGACGGCCCTGTGGTGTGTGAAGTCAACGTCTTTCCACGTGCGCTTGCCAAACCAATCCTGTTCATTCCCCGTTGGCTTTTCGTTTGGTTCCAATTTGGGGTGTCCATCCTGGGGTCTCTCGGCCGCTCTCCTTGGTTGTCCCTGCACCTTTGATTTATTAAGTCCCATCGCTTCCGATCGCTTGACCATGCCGAAGATTTCTTTGCTTTGCTTTAGAGTAACGATTCCTTCCTGGAATCAGAGATGATCACGGCTGTGATTAAAGGACAACTGAATCTAAATTTTAATTAAGGGTTAGCTGAACTATGTCCAAAAGTTTGCACATTTTTTTTTTCCATAATGATTTTTAGGGACTTATTTATGGCTCCACATATTGCTAAAGGATTTTGTTTTTCTTTTTTGGGGGGAGGGGTTTAGTTGTTTTTTGGCCTTCATCCATGTTTTTTCTAAATGAGAACAGTTATCAAAGCAGCTCATTTCTGCATATTATTTCTAAGTTTTATTTTGCTTTGTCCCCTCGGGGCCCGCCAGTTTCCATCACTAGCCATGGACGCGTCCCCGCCCTGGGGCCTGGCCTTGCTCGTTGGCTTCTGGATTAGGAGTCCACTCAAGGCTTTCCTCCGTCTCTGTTCAGAGCCCTGGCTCCCGTCATGCTGAACGTCCCTTGGGCGCGTGGAGGGCCATCTGCATGGCGCCAGGCCTGGGTTCTGAGATACCCACGCTGGGGCCTCACCCTCAACGCTGCAGCAGCAAGGAGCAGACCATCCCCTCCTCCTGTCCCCAAAGGCCTCACTGCCCTTCCCAGAGGGCTCGGCTTTGCGGGGTTTCCTCCGACCACCTCTGACTCTAGTCCAAGTTGGAGGTGGGCCTCCCTGGGAAGGGCACCTCTTCAGGGCAGCGTAGTTCTCCAGACTGGGGCCGACCCTGGCCGTGAGTTTCCAGTCCCAACACAGAAGCCTCCGTCTGAGTTTTCGGAAACCTCACTTGCGACGTCTACCCAGGTGGGACGTTTGGAACCGCAGAGCTTTCCTGCTTGTTTGGCAGCCTGGGGCAGGTGTGCGGAGGCAGCCGAGGCCTGCTCGTGGTGGAAGGCGTCAGTGTCCTGAAAGCCACTGTCATTAGGTCCGAAACACGTGGCTTCAGCGGCAGTAGAGCAACGGACCCTGCCCAGGGCTCATTTTGCCCCACCCACTGTGGTGCTTCAGATGCGACTCTGGTGCAGGGGAGGGGCCTGGCGGCCAGCCTGTTTCCTCCTGGGCCTTCAGCTAACCTTTCAGTTAAAAGCTAAGTTTAGTTGCCTTTAGAGCTTCTGCTTCGGATTTGATTGATTTGGCTGATCGCTCTCCCCCTGCCACACTGGCAAGACTGACAGCCTTGTTGTTTTGTCTCCAGATTCTAGGAAACCCAGCATCTGCCGGACGTGTGGACAGGGCAGATCATGTGGGCAGGAGGTTTTCCCACGGTGGCACTGGTCCTCAGAGGCCCCGGCCGACGGTGGTCCCATCTATTGGTTAGTGGCTTGAGGGCTGTCTCTCTCTCCCTCCCTCTCCCCACCACATGCACCTACTGGGTCTCCTATACGAACATTTCACATAATATTCAGGGGGACATTTTCAACCAAACACAGAGAACTCTTGGTCATCCATGGCAAAGGGAGGTAGGCATGGCGCACGAGGGCAGCAAACCCTCTGCACATTCTCAGAGCTCCCGCCAGCCTCGGGGTTACACTAGCCTCTCCCTGCTGACAGTCTCCTGTGGGCTTTCTAGGTGGCCTTGGAGGGACTGAGGGCAGCGGCTCTTGGGACGCTCAGGGACAAGGCTGAGACAGAGGCAGAGCTGGGGAGGTGGTGCACCCCACACACCTGCAGTGGCAGAGATGTCTGGGTGCATAAGATGCGCTGGCAGCGGACATAAGCTTGGGGATAAGAGGCCAAGTGTGACCCCAGGTGTGCTCCCACCTCCCTAGGCCACCACCCTTCCCCACTGGTCCATTCCCACTCTCTTATCTCCTGCTTGGTAGCCTCCATACATACAGGTTCAAGGGCACAAAGGCCAGAGGAAGCAGGCAAATGGGGTCCTTACCTGCATGGGGGTCAGACAGTGGCCCCAGGGCGAGGGGCCCACCATACTTCCTCCAACCCTTGATTGCTCAGTTCTTGTGAAAGTAATATAGAAATCTTTAGTCCAAGGCCATGGGCTTTCTTTTTTAGGGGAAAAGAAGACATTAGGTGTATATGCTGCGTGCTTCCTGAGCATATTTTTAAGGGGCAACAGACTGACAATTGATGGAAAATACCAGGGCTTTCAGAATTCCTTTTCCCCAAATTAAGACAAATGAACACTGTCGTGGCTTAACAAGACCATTGCCTGACTACACACCTAAGCACCCTGAGGCATCTGATGAGGCTCTCCACAACGCCCGGTGGATGTTTAAAAGACGACAGAGAACAAAACAACTAAACAAAAACAATGACAAAAAATAGATGATCTGGGGATCCTAAAAGGCCCCTCATGTGAGTCAGGATGCCCACTGCATTTGAAGTCCAGGCTCCTGCAGCCTCAGCCCATGCAAATTTTAAACTAGATTTTTTTTTGCTGGTGAAGAAGCCAGCTCACTTGGTCATCTCCCTGTTTACCTGTCTTGTCCTTTCTGCACACCTGGTTCCTCCAGTCACACTTCCCTTGTCATGTGCTGGGGACAGCAGTCGGCCAGCTTTTCCCAGCCCTCCTTCCTGGTGGCTAATCTCAGTGTCTGATTTGTTCTCCTGCTGATGTTCTGAGACCTTCTCATTAGATCATGCTCAGGTCAGCGCTGGCCCTCAGTGCCTTGTCTCCCTGTCTGACTGTCCGTCTCCAACCCCATCTGTCTGTGTCCAGTACCGAAGCTCATCTGACTTGGGTATCCAGGATGCGCATAGGTTATGTGCAAGCACAGCCTTTGCTGATGGGGACCTGAGTGGACTTCCGTGTCACAGGATGGTCCTGGGCCAGTTCCCTGCAGACCCGAGTGGACACCTGCATACCCAGTGACCTCTAGTGAGACATATGCATACCCAGTAATGCTTCAGAAAGGATTGAGTTTAAAAGCTGGGAGGGGGACAGAGCTGAACCCTGTTGGGCTGGGGAATCGTCCCGTCACAAAGAGGAATGCACTTGCTATCCGCTGTCCACTCAGTGAAGTGAGCAGCTGGGTTCCCCACACCAAGCTCTGACGAAGCTCTGGATGTGTTGTAAGCTCTGTGCACTAGCCTCATGGCCCGTGGAGCATGCTGCCCCATAGGGGTCGCCACTGATGCACACGTGACCACCCACCCACTCTGGCTGTTCTCTCTGGTGGAGCCACCCAGGCGGCCCCTTCATCTCACTGCTTCCACACCAGTGTGCTGGCCAGGGCGAGGCTGTGTGGTAGAGCCACCGCCTCTGCCATGCCTCTGGACATCCCCAGGTCCCTTGCTGCCTCCATGTTGAGCCCAGAATATTTTTCAAAGGACAGAAGCCAGGGCCTGGCCACCTGACCCCGGCTGAGCCCCACATGACGTGTGGTCGTGTCCCGAGTTGCAGGGTGGTAACCGGCCTCTGCTTTACCACCACATCCCCCCAGATGATTACGCTGGGCGCGACCGCCTCTCTCCAGACTTCTACGAGGAGTCGGAGACGGACCCTGGAGCCGAGGAGCCCCCAGCCCGCATCTTTGTGGCTCTGTTTGACTATGACCCACTCACCATGTCCCCGAACCCTGACGCTGCAGAGGAGGAACTTCCCTTCAAGGAAGGACAGATCATCAAGGTGGGGAGTCTGCTGGCTGCACAGTTGGGTGCTGCTGAGGTGGGCGCGGCCCAGAGCCAGCCATGAGCTGACCAGCCCTGGGCAGTGGCCTTTGGACTCTTTGGGGCCATCGGAAGGCTGGCCAGCCTGTGGCAGCCTTGCACATTGGGCAGGCCCTGTCTGCTTCACCTGGGCAGAGGGGACGGCCCCACTAGTTGCCTTGGAGGAGTGCATATGCCGGTGCATGCGGGGTTTTCCAGGCCGCCTGCCTGCTGGGGGCTAGTCTGAGCCCTCATTTAGTTTAGATGACACTCGAAACCAGAAGAAAAGTATCACTGGGTCTTTTATTAGACTGATCAACAGAGTCAAAACAACATGAAGCACTCACCAGTGCCTGAGGCCGGTGGTTCCCACACACACCAGCCTCCTGTGCCTGAGCTCTAGATCCTCAGCCCAGGGCAGCTGAGAAACAAATCACAGGCCCAAAGTTTGGGACTTTGTAGTACACAAGGTCTAACCCAAGGGCAGAGCAGTGGGAGGGAGGGGGAGGAGGCCGAGGCAGGCAGAGGACCTCCCCCAGCACGCAGACGCAGGGTGTGCCATTCCCACTCGGGTTCTGGAGAAGAGGAGGGGAGCAGTGTGGATCTGTAGGACCAGTGGGAGGGGAGGGCCCTGCTTGCCCACCTCAGAAGGTGGTTGGAAGGCCTGGTGCCTGGCTCCAGCCCTCCCTGGTCCTTCCACGTAGAGGGCCTCCAGTGCACACTCCCCCGGGGGGCTCAGGCGCTGTCCAAACCTGGAGGGGACACTGCATCTGGGGTCCAGTGTGTGTGTGGGGTCGTCGTAGGTGATGTGGTGCGGGGGCTGGGGTGTTTCTGGGCCACCCCGACAGGTGCTCTGCCTCTCCATGCTCCAGGTCTACGGAGACAAAGACGCAGATGGCTTCTACCGCGGGGAGACCTGCGCCCGGCTCGGCCTCATTCCCTGCAACATGGTCTCCGAGATCCAAGCTGATGACGAGGAGATGACTGACCAGCTGCTAAGACAAGGCTTCCTGCCCCTGAGCACGCCCGTGGAGAAAATAGGTGAGTGCGGCCCTGTATGGCCTCAGGCTGGGGGCAGCCACGCACCACTGGACGTTGGGCAGAACCCACTTTACAAACCAGGGTCACAGTGGTGCTGCCTGCTCGAGGGACACACATGCTCCCCAATACCTGTGCACACACAGGTGGCCCTCTGGAGAGGAAGTGCACCCTGCCGGCTGCTCCCCCCCGGCGGTTTAGGTCTTATGCCTGTAAAGCTCAGAGCCTATGGTATTCTTCTCAGCAGCCAGGACCCCATGAAAGCTCATGTTCACAGGTCACACCAGGAAGCAGAGGAGCAGCTGTTCTAGGTGGGGCACCAGGGTCAGCCTGTCCATGGTGCATTTCTAAGCACAGGGAGCCTGGGCCTCTCATCCTCAGCTGGGTTTGCTCATCCAAAGGCCTGTGAGGGACTTGCCCATCAGTCTGGGCATACCTCCCTCCTCCCTGCCTGGGAGCCAGGCTGCAGCAGCATAGAGGAGTGGGCAAGGCTACGGCCAGCAAGTGGGAGGGCAGTGCACCATGCTCTGTCCTCTTCCCCTGGTTGAAAGGCCTCCCTTGGTCCACACAGCTGTGGAGAGAAAGGTCCATCTGATGCCATATGAATTTAAAGTTTGAAAATTCACAACTTCTGAATTAACTTCTAAATCAGAATTCAATGGTCCAAAGATCATACATAATTTTAAGGATGATCACAAAATTAATGCCAAAAAAGGTTGAATCTGTTTTATTTTTTAATAGACTCATGGCCTCAAGATGGCCCTCCCAGTAGTTGAGGCTGAGGGTGAGGCCCGGGCTCCCTCTCAGGGTTGTGGTCTTCTTCCCTGGCTTACCCATGACTTTGGCAGAGACAGGACGGCCCCACCCTCCCGGAGCCAGTCTAGCAGGCGCTCTATGGAGGGACTCACTTGGTCTGTGACATCATGATGTCAGACGTCTCTCTGTCTTTTCCCTTCTCCCACATGCTGCTGGACAAGGGAACCGAGCAGAGATGTATACTGGCCCAATGACACTGGCAAAGCCACCCTTGGAGGACGGCCAACTTCTAACTTGGTTGTGCTGAGCTTGTGGGTCTTCCCCAGAGCAGCCTCCAGCCTTCCCTCTGCCTGCTGAGCCTCCCCATCCCGAGCTGGCCATGAAACTGGACTCACTCCCAAGGTGGCTCCTGTCAGGAGCACCCACCCTAGAGCCAAAGTAGAAGGAGTGGGTCCAGGACAAGGGTGGCATGCTGGACTGCTTGAAGAGGACAGCGCCAGGACTGGGCCCCAGAGGGTGTGGTCCCATGGGCCAGTGAGATGCGGGGACACACCTGCTAAGATGCCCTCCCAACACTGTGGAACACTGTGCTAGCAGGTGTTCTGAGGTGACATCGTGACAGGTTTCTTCTTCCTCTGTGGCTTGCAGAGAGAAGTAGAAGAAGCAGCAGGCAGCGCCCCGTGTCCACAAGAAGAGTGGTGGCTCTGTACGACTATGACCCCCGGGAGAGCTCGCCCAACGTGGACGTCGAGGTAGGGCCAGCACTATGCACAGGGTCAGGAGGTCACCTGCCCCTCCAACAGGGACACCAGCCACAGACTTCCATGTCTACAAGAGCCACCAAAGGCAGGGCAACCAAGCCAGATGGGCAAATGTAGGGACAACAGACAAGAGAAGCCACGATGTTCTTAAGGAAACATACAGCACACCCCACAGTTATGGCAGACCCTATTGACCCCTACAGACAGAGTGTCCCATAGCCATAATAGGCTCTAGAGCCACAGCAGGTCACAATAGACCCCTATAGGCCTGGAAGCCTCAGAGCCGCAGCAGACTCCATAATCACTGTAGCTCCATAGGCACCTTAGCTCCATGACCACAGAAGCCAACAGAGATGATCAGCCAACTCCATCACCACAGGTTCCCCAATGAGAGATGTCAGAATTCATAGCCACAACACCCCCAACCCACTGTAGTGCCCATAGCCACAACAGACTGGATGGACACAGCAGACCCCGTAGACAAGTAGCCCAGAAGGTCACTAGAGCCCCTGTAGATCCCATAACCACAGCAGCCCCCGTAGCATCAGTAACTCAATAACCACAGTGGCCTCAGAGCCACAGCAGACCCCATGGCCAAGTAGTCCACAAGGCCACAGTAACTTGCAAGGCTACTATAGCTGTCATAGCCACAGCAGACCCCATAGCATGGTAGTCCCCATAGCCATGGTAGCCCCCTAAGCACAGTTGCCCCATAGCCACAGCAGTTTACAAGGCCACTCTAGCCCCCTAGCCTCTGCAAACTCCATAGCCACAGTAGCCCTTATAGTCACCATAGCCCTTATAACCACAGTAGGCCCCATAACCATAATAGCCCCTATAACTACAGTTGCCCCCATAGACATACAAGACCCCCCAGGACACTGTCGTCCTCCATAGCCACCACAGTCCTTCCTGACCCTAGCAGCCCCAGGTTACGGCAGACCCCTTCGCCCATGCTCAACTGTGGTCCACAGGGAATTCCAGGGGGTAATCAGTGCCCGTGTTTCACAGTGCTGTGCCCAGTACAAGGTGAAAGCCAGTGTGTGGCTCCACCCACCTGGCATAGCCCTGCTGTGTGCCCCTGTTAAGAGCCACATTCACAGTGATGGATGCCACAGAACTCCTCTGTCAGGGTGCCAGGTGTATGCACCTCACTTCCTCACAGGTGTGAGTGCAGCAGGATGCCTGGCCCGAGTGGGCCTGGGGGCACTGCGGCTCCTGGCATTCGCTGGAGGTGCTGGAGTGAAGGGGGCTGCTCTGCTTGACAAACCCCAGCCCAGGGCCACGTACCCCTGTGCTATCCCCAAATGGCAATTTAGGATGCACATTTCCTTTAGGAAAGAAAGAAAAAGTGCATGTGTCCACTGAGCTAAGGCCAAGCTACGGGAAAGCACATCCCGTGGGATCTGCCCTGCGAAGGAAGCACAGGCCCGGGTCCCGCCCCACACCAGGCACAGCCTGATTCCTCACCTTCGTGTTTAGAAGTCAAATCTTGATGTATTTACTCATTTTTGGTATCCCCTACTGGGCTTGTCCCTCTGGCCCCCATTTCTGGGGTCTGAACATGTGAGACGGTTGATTCCTAAGGACAGGGCCTGTGACTAGCATGTTTGTCTCTGGGCTGATGCACACAGGCACTGAGTTTCGTCCGTCATGGAGCAGGAGTCTTGATGCTCAGCGAGGTGTCTGTGTGGCCACCCTTGCTCACAGGAGTGCCCCACAATCAGTCCTCAGGGCCATATGGCCAGCTTTAAAGCTGTATCACCAGTGGGGAAGGAAATGCTCTTGAAAGTCATCCAGGAACCAAAGCCCTGCAGACATTTTTTTCTAGGTGGACATCATCCTGAGGTGTAGAACTTTCTAGAAGACTGAGCAGGAACCTCCATTAGCTTTGTACTTGGCTTCCTTGTGTGATTGAAGGATGGTTCTCGGTAATACGAGCCACTTGTTTTCAAAAACAACTTCCTGTAACAAGATGCTGTGCATTTTATGTTCTCTCTGTAGGCTGAACTTACGTTTTGCACGGGAGATATTATCACTGTTTTTGGTGAAATCGATGAAGATGGATTTTATTATGTAAGTGTTTCTAATCAAGAAGCACCACCTCTGGGCTGGAGTTGTGGCTCAGTGGTAGAGCATTTGTCTACCACATGTGAGGCCCTGGGTTCAATTCTCAGCACTGCATAAAAAAAGAAAGATATCTTGTCCATCTACAATTTAAAAGAAGCACCTCCTCATTCACTTTGTGCCTCTTACAGCCTGTCTTCCCTTTCTCTCATCACTTTCAGGCAAGACGCATATGTTAGTGTTACTAGGAGCTGGAGAGCCTGCCCCACTTGCACATGACAGAAAAGCTGGCTCTTCACTGCTTCTTGTTTGCTAATAATGGTATTTTCCATGTATCTAAACGTAGACAAAATAAAAACATTCTATTTTCTGACATTTTAAAATTGTCACCATCCAAACATTTACATAATAATTTAGTTTTCTAGACTATCTATTTGTAGGTGGTAAATTAATCTTACAGAGAAAGTAAGAAACCAATAAGCAGAACTCAATAGGTGGATAAGATCCCCGAGGTCTTAGCGCTCCCCACCTGCCCAGCAGCTGACCTGTGGGCAGTCCAGATACATAGGACCTCTCACGACCCGCCCCCGCCCCCCCTCCACCTCACATGCTGGTTGCCTTCCTTTCCTGCCCCTGTGGTTATTTCTCTAATATTCCCCCAGGGAGAGAAGGGAAGGGCTGCTAGGGGTAGGGTTCACCTCCTCCCTGAAGAGCCCATGGTCACCTAGGGGTATATGGTCATTTTTAAAGCATTGGATTTGATCTTCTGGCATTTTCTTCACAAGTTATGTCTGTGCTCCCTCTGCTGTGGCCTTTATTTTCAGGATTATTCTAGAGTTACTGATTGAGTTAAAAAGCTTCCCTTTTCTCTTTTCCTGGGCTCTGAAACAGATTGACATTGGAAAAACTATTACTAGAAGAAGATTAGATTCTGCTTAAAAATCTGTTAGGTCCATTGTCTCTTGAGGAATGTAGTTGTACAAGCTTCGTTTGCTTTTCTGGTTCTTGAGCTGATTTTTAAAAAGGTACATACCTGTGTGAAAACACACCTTCCATTAGTTCAAGTGTGTGCACAGAATTGGACTTTCAGAGGGCCTGTTGCTATCAACTGTGTCCTTGCATGGACAGAAGCTTTCAATCTCCACACAGCAGGGCCACTTCTGTCTCGTGAGGAAGCAGAACTCCACGTTGTAGAGACCATCCTTTTAAGATGGGGTCTGGCTCTGTTGCCCGTGCTGGTCTCGAGTGGTTCTCCTGCCTCAGTCCCCTCAGTGCTGGGACCATCACACAGTTCTGAACTGAGTTTCAGCACTTACAGGGCAGGTTGGTGTTTAGAGGGACTGGGAGAAATGACAAGTAGGCTCCCAGCCCTATGTCCTGGTGTCCATTGAGTAGCCGGACACATGCATAGGTATGTCAGAGGAGAAGGGCCTGGAAGGACGGGTGCCCCTCTGGAGCAGCCACCTGAGGAGATGCCTGCAGACTCCCGCCTGCCTTGTGGCCTGAGTCTGAGAACACATTCACCTGTGGGAGGGAGGGTAAGCCTGGCCCTCACTCTTTCTGCTCTGCTCCCAAGGGACACGTCCTCAGCCTGGGTCAGTGTTTCTGAGCTGTGGGACACTGCAGACTCCTGAGGGGCCCCAGGGTCAGCCAGGCTGGAGACCCACTGAAGGAGACAAGCAGACCTGAGGGCCAGCTCAGGCCCACTCCTCCAGACCTCTCTGGAAGACGACCCTGCATTGAGCTCTTGCTAAGGCTGTCCCTGGGAGAGGCCACTATTGACAAGGATGAACCCATCTTGCTGTCCTGTGGGCCGTGCTCCCCTCATGAGAGTAGGAAGGGGGTCTGGGGGCAAGGTGGTTCTTCTGACCTCCCCGCCTCTGCTTCCAGGGGGAGCTCAATGGGCTGAAAGGCCTGGTGCCTTCCAACTTCCTGGAGGAAGTGCCTGAGGACGTGGAAGTCTACCTCTCCGACGCCCCGTCCCCCTACTCTCAAGACCCACCCCCGCGCTCCAAGGCCAAAAGGGTAAGCACCCCCCCCCCAGCCTCTTGGGCCCCGCCCCTGCCATGTGTGGATGATCATTCATGTTTCTGCATCTTGGGCCAAAAGCACACGCCCTGAATGCCTTCCTCTCAGCCCCTCCATGGGGTCGGGCCTATCAGTGCTTGATCTTAAACCTTATTTCACACAAAAGACCCCTGAAGTTCCCAAGGGTCCACCTTGACCCCAGGACGACCCTGCCCGACACGACAGGTGCACATTTCAGTTGCTGGAGTGAGGCCGGGACAGGGACGGTTGCCTGCCCTGGTCAGGAGCCCAGGCCTCCTAGGGAGGGTCAGAGGCCACTGCAGCACATCCGCTCAGAGGCCGCATTCACATTTAGTGTCTCATCTTTACTTTACGCCATCACCACGAGTTCTTATCTGTCATATTTTACGTCTATATCTTTATTTCTTCGTCATCTGCTTGGACACCGAAGAAGAGCGTTCATTTCACACCCTAATCAGGCATGTAGCCTTCACGTAAGTGAGCAGCCGGAGACACCTAGCGAGATGCCGACTTAAGCTACCTAACGGACCAGTGCGGTAGACTTAAGCTTCACTGTGGCCTAGAGAGGAAAGAAATATGTCTCAAAAAACACTGGACCTAAAGTGCTAGTACATCCCTCGGCCTCAGTTGTAAACAACTGAATTTGTAGTGAAACCAATCAGCTTTAATGATCATTTCCTGCTATTTTCATTAAGAGCATTTGAAAGGCCGACATTGGGAACATATTTCTTACAAGCCAGTTGTCTGTTTACATAGAATTCCAACGTCTGCTCTTCCTCAAAGCTGCATATTGCATTGTTAGCCACCCTTGGAAAAAGCACAAGCTAACCAGTACGTTTACCATAGGATTTTTCCTAAAAATAAAACCAAAAACAAACACCTCTAGTTCAAGATCAAGTAGATGAGTGGTGAACACAGGGGTGGTGCGGGCTCCGGCCTGAGCGCCAGAGACCACACCTCCACTGAGGAGCAAGCGTCGGCACAGACGCAGCCAGGCCTGGGTACCAATGCAATACCACGTTCCAGGGACGTGCAGCTCCGAGGGTTGCACTGGGGGTAGGAGACGCAACTTCAGGTGTGCTTTGGGATGCATCCCTAGGTGTTTCCATGAGTGCTAGACCTTGATTCTGAATCCAAGCAAGCTTGAAGCCCTTGGCTCCTGTCCTTTTCCTGCTGCACAGTGAGGCCCACTTAGTGGAGTCTGCTCTGGAGAGGTTGGGGAAGGAGTCATGCAATCCCAGGCATGCACCCAGCTGCAGAAAGTCACAAGTCAAAGTTGCCACCTGGCACATTGGAACAAAGCCCCGCCCTCCTAAGCACGGTTGATAAGCACCTGGAGTCTATGGAAACACTCCACAGGCCATATGCCGGTGACAGACGTGCAATTATGTGCGAACAATAGAAGCATAAATAAGGGCCTTTAAGCTTTCTTTGATTGTAATTAAGGTTCATTTTAGTTTTTTTTCTTTCAACCAGTGTGCCATCTCCAATGTTTCTACAGTATCCTAACTAATCCAAGAACGCACTCAACAGCATCAGGGTTTTATATAACCAAGTAGTTTCCAAATGCACCCAAACTCCCTGTAAGAACTTTTGTTTTTAAGATGACTGATGGGTACTTGGCCAACTTTGCTATCAATCTCATTTAAAGCACTTCCCTGCTTTTAGTTTGAATTCGGTCAATGTGACCCAGCTTTGTTTACCAAAGCGGTGGCCACCCTCTCCCAGTGCAGACACGGGAGGCTAACCACGCCAGACCTGTCAGGGTGCCCTGGGAGTGGGCGTGTGCCGCTCATAGCACATGCAGACTGAAGGCAGCGCGGGAGCTGGGGCGGCGCGTGGTACCGAGTGAATGGCTATTGTTGGCGCTCACGCACTCAAACTGTCACAATGTACCTACTAGGTTCCTCCTGAGGGTTCAGGGCCAACAAGGAGAGCTCCATCCCCCACAGCCCATCTCCATTCGGGGTCACCTACGTCATCTATGGGTTCTGGTGGTCCCGGGAAAGGCAGGGAAATGTCCTCAAGAAAGAAAAGGGGGCTTCTCTCCAAAGGCAAGACGCTGCTGGCGAGGCTGGGCGCGGTGAAATGACCCCTGTGCTGTGGACAGCCGCCGAGTCCCTGTGATTCTCTTTGATTCCAAACTAGGGTTCTCACGACTCAAGCACTTCCTAAAACACAATCTCCTCCCGACACCAGTAGAGAAATGCTCTTGCACCACCACCACCCTAAGCCACCATGGGAGCAGAGGGGCTGTCGCCCCCTTTCCCGGCCTGAGTCTGGCTTGGGAAGCGGGGCGGGTGTCCTGCTGCCAAGCGGGGCCCTGGGCCACCCGCTGCCCACCTGTAACCCAGCTCTGTGCATTTGTCATCTATCCTTAGAGGAACGAGGTCCAACTCTCCTCCCGTCCAAAGCGCTTTCCTCATAACCATAACTGTCACTTTCCTCGTCTGACTCGCCTTGATGTTCTGCCTTATGAACGCACATGGTCTGTATGTCCAATAAAACCGCAGTGTCTACTGGTCTGTGTTGTCGTTCCTGGTCTGCACCCCCACCCCGGCCTGATGGCCAGCCCCACAGCTGTGTAGCTTCAGGTCCTGTCCCAGGCTTTCCCGGCAAGCCCGAGAACACATCGCCCACCCAGTAGGCATCCCAGAGCCAGGCACCCCAGGGCCAGGGCAGGAAAGTACCTTTGTCTGGAAAAGCACTAGTGTCCAACCTGCCAGAAAGTGGCGATATTGGCTTCCAGTGTTATATTGTGGCATGTTTCTGTTACACTATTTGTCAAAAGGCCACACCCAAGCCCTCGACAGGGAGCTGCACACACATACAGCACCCACCCCACCCACTGGCCACACCAGAAAAAGCCACCTTCCCCCTGCCCGGAATAGCCGGTCCCCCCATCATTGGCATTTCAACAAGACTTACCCAGTTGCTGGCAGGTGTATTTGATGGTTACTATTTTGTAATTCTTGTCCACTTGTAAATTGTTTTTACTCTTTATACATACTTTTCAGACTGCCTTTCTTTTGTAATTTATGGAAGGTTTATAAATGAATGAAAAAGCTTTCCCCATTGTGTCTTCAAAACTATCTTGTAAATTGTAACATAATAGTATGTAGTAGATTTATTCAAAGGAAATTGCTCTATGTGTGGTAAAGTACTGTGTGGGTGTGTGCATGTGTACAGCTAGTGTAAAATATTTTCTAGAAATAAAATTTGTTATTTTGTACAAGGCTGTTGACCGTCTGTGTGGACATTTCCCATCATGGCACGACAGGCAAAGTCCTCTCTCCTCCATGCTCGGGAAGACGCTCGAGCCTCACTTTTCTGGGACTTTCTTCCAAAGGTAATGCTGACTTACATTTTGGGGTCCCCATCGAGTGCTGGGGCCCTTTCCCTGGACAGGGGTCCTGGCACTGGTGCACCAAGGTACAGCCACAGCCAGGTGGGAGATGCTCCTGCTGGCAGAGGGCCGAGGAGAAGCCAGTCAGTGGAGTCCTGCTGTTCCTTGGCCACTTGGGAGCTGAGCACGACAGGAGTCAACTTCCCATACACAGGATTTCCCCAAGAGCCCTACTTACTATTTTCCAGGTACAAGGAATGGTTTGAACTAAGAGCTGAAACCAGCACATGGTAGCCAGGCGCTGCCATATGGTTCCAAGGCAGTGAGGCCACATCTGATGCCCCAGAGGGCCACACAGTCATCCATGACTGGCTATGCCTTCCACCCTGGCTAGGGGCTCGCTGGGTGGTGCCAGGATGGCTTCTGTCCCCCTCACCCACATAGCCAGGATGTGTTTCTCCAAATCTTTGGGGAGATTTTCAAATTCCCTAAAATACAAACCTGTGGTCAGGCGCCATGTCCCAGTGAGCAGGACTTGGCTTGCTCCTAGTGGCTGTGGGTGCCAGTGTCCTGTAGAGGTGGTGCTGCATGAACAGCTTCATCACATCCATCCCCTTCCCAGCCAACCCGCCTTGTCAGGGGACAAGAGAGCAGAGTCTTGCTCTTGTTCTGTGACCTGCAGTCACCCCAGGACCCTGTGCCAGCTGGGGTGTGTCCTGTTAGGGGAGCTGACCTGCACCACGCACAGTGGAGAGCACGGCACGTTGGGCCTCCAGAGCTACCCTGCCTCCCAGCTCTGAAGCCATCGTGGGCTTCAGGACAGGCCTGCTGACCCCCGATCCCACCCCAGAGCAGAGTGCTTCCACCCAGAATGCCCCCCCCCATTCTTGCCCTCGACCTTAAAGACAATTTTCACTGGATGGCCAACAATTATATCAAAGTTCCGGTTAATTTCATTATGAGTTTCCTATCTACAAGATTAAATAAATGAATTTGGGGGAAGTATTTTGAGTTACTGGGAATAGAAACCAGGCTTCATGCATTCTAGGTGAGTTCTCTACCACGGAGCCACATCCCCAGTACTTCTTAAATAATACTTTGAGCCACAGCCTCACTAAGTCACCCAGGCTGGCCTGGAACCTGTCCTCCTGCCCAGTCCCGAGCTGCTTGGATTAGAGGAGCATCCTGCTCCCCCAAATTCCATTTTAAAATCACTTACCTAAAGATTTTCTATTCTATTGATGATACTTTCAAATAGTGCACTTACCTATCTATTTAAAGAAAACTCAAAACTCCAGAATTATCCCTTATTTTGAAAAGTAACTATACTTAAAAATAAAAAACAAGAAAACAACCCCTGATATATCATCCTTCCAGAAACCTTTCACCTATCTCCTTCTGGGGCTCTGAGTGGGCAAGAAGGCTGGCAGGGGAGGGCTTGGCCTGGAAGCTCTGGTACCCAAGGGAAGCCTGCCGACAGGCTGCCACCCAGGGCCAGACCTCAGCCCTTTGGCAGAGGGAAGGACAGACCACTGGTCAGCTGTGCTGGAAGCCTCGTCAACATCAAGAAGAGGAAGACACACTTCTAAACATTTTCCATTTTGAAACAAGGTCCCCTTTGTGAGGAGTGCAGCTGCCCATGGGGCTGGTGGCTTGTGAGCCCTCACAGGCTGCTCCTGTGGGCCGGGTTCTCACTGCTTCCTGCAGCTGCTACACTGTGATGAAGAGGGCCTGGGTCACCAGAATGAGATCTTAGGACAAAAACAGATGAATCCAAAGAAAGACCGTGAGTCAAGTGTGGAAATGAAATTAATATAAGAATCCAAAATAAATGTAATCCAGGTGTGAAACCCTCTCTGGGTGGAGCTTTCTCCCTGCTGTCCTTTGGAAGCCCCGTGCAAGCACATCAGTCCAAGCTGGGAAGTAGCAAATGCAGTCCCCCCCCCTCCCTGGCTGAGGGACAGCCACGCTTCCCAGCCAAGGTAGCAGATCTGAAAGTGAAAATCCAGACAGGATGCAAGCCCCTGGCAGGGCAGGCTGGACCCCTCTGTGACGTTTTTCCCACATGTGGCCACCCACTCTCCAGAGCAGGACAAGTGTGTGTGACCTTTAGGTGAATCCCACATCTAGGAATCCAACTTAAAGAGGGATTCAGGAGGGTTTACCACCTCAGGCCCTATGACAACTTTATTTCAACAGTGATAACCATTAAATCAACAAAGAACACCCGGGGCAGCCTGGCTAATCAGGCCCAGTGCAGCCACTTGTCAGAATAGGACATCTCCCAAGACCCGAGCCAGGGAGCTGGCCACAGTGACAGGGAGGATGGGCGACAAGGAGGGGTACTGAAGCCACACCCACCCTGAGGGCAGCTGGACACATCTGCTCCCTTCTCCCTGGCAGCAGAGCTCCTACTCCATGGGTTGGTACAACAGCTGGGGCTTCTCATCCACCTCGCTGCCCATCAGCGCTGCACAACTTGGTCTGCAGATTGTTTAGAAAAACTCACGTTAATAAGGCAGATGCCACCTCCGTTCCTTTGCTCACAAGCCCTTGCCTGATGGGGTTGGAGAATAGTTGGGTTTTTGATGGCAGATGATGACCATCTCAGCTGCTCTGAATCTCCAGCGAGACACTGAAAACCACCAAGTTCCTGCCAGATGTTGGTCACAAGCTCTTTCTACCCTGGGGGGTGGGTGGGGTTGAGGCACTAGTGATAGCCACCACCACCTCACTGCCATTCCCTGCCCCAGGAGGCAGACTGGCAACCCAGGGCTCCCTGGCCACTCTTCCGCTGCTTGGCAAAGCACTGCGTTATGGCCTGTCAGTCTCCCTCCCCAGCAACCTCAGCAGGGAGGGGTGGGAGGGCCACTCATATGGAGGTGCAGCACCTCTGAGGAGCTCCATGGGAGGGGCAAGGGCAGGCGGGTGAGACCTTTGGAGGTGCCCGTCGGGCACAGTTTCCATTGATGGCCCCTGGGCTGTGCAGGAGGGCTGCTGGGAAGGAGGGGGTGTCTGGTCGTCTGCAGGTCCCAGGGCAAGTTTTTTACTGGGGGAGCAGGTGCTGCAGAATGTGGTCAGCAGAGGAAGGCCAGCAGCAGGCCAAGCCCAAGGCCTGCAGGTGACAGATGTGAGGCAGGAGGAGCCAAGGGCCATGACAACTGACCTCAAAGAAGGGTGGGAGCAGCAGTGGGAGAAGGCACAATAGCACTCCTCATGCAGGAGAACAAGCAGCCAGCGGTGGCCCTACCCTCAGCAATGCAGCAGCCTCCTGCCCCCACCCCAAGGCCTCAATGGCTGTGGCAGAGGTGAGGTCAGGATGGGTCAGGGTCTCCCAGGACGCAGCAGGACTAGAGAAGGCACCCTGTGCTGCTGATCTAGTCTGCCTGCCTCTGGCCTGGCGGGATATCACCCTTGTGGGTCACGGGGCCGGGCTCGGGGCCGCCCTGCCACAGCCTTCCCACGTAGCTCTGCTGCTCTCTCCCTTCCACTTTCTTTGCTTTGTTTTTAGGAATAAAATCTCAATTGCTGAATTTCAAGTTTTCTATTTTTAAAAAAGAATATTTAAAGTCAGAATTTCCTATGGCCATAGCTTCAGCCCATCGCTCACATTCTGACCTTATTCCCATGGCCATCCTGGCCTGTCCTGGAATTTCCTTGTTGACCCAAGGGTTATCCAGAAGTATCTTGTCTTAAAATATTTGGAAATTTCAGTCATCACCGATCCCATTTTAATTCTTCAGTGGTACAGAGCCCACACATCCTGCCCAGGACCTGCTCTGTGGCTCAGCGGGGCTCTGCCCTGGGGTCCTCCACACACGTGGGAAAGAATGCTGTTCCAGTCGCTGGCTACGTCAAGCAATGCGTCTTGAGAGCTTCCCACATCCTTGCTTGTTGGTTCTTTTCTCTCCTGTAATGTTTCTAGGGATATGACGGTAAAGTCTCCAACAACCACAGGACATTGACCTGTCCCTCTGAGCAAACCTGCTAACTTTGGCCTTGCCTCATTAGAGACGTACACACAGGGCCACCGTCCTGTGCGTGCTCACTCTGGCCATTGTGAGATGAAGTGCTTCTGGCTTGGGGCGCCCTGCAGGCCATCCGCTCCCCAGGGTCATGGAGGTCAGCACTCAGGACACTTTGCCCTCCACATCTCGTATGCAAAGTGTCTCAGGGAAACCAGAGACGAGCCTTGGAAAGCCCATGGGCGGGCCTCTGTCACACACTGCTCTGCTCACACCTGCTCAGTCTCGCTTTGTGGGCCTTTGATTTCATCTTTTCTTCAGTCTTTTTTTTTTTGTGTGTGTGTGTGGGGCCTCACGCCCCGTCCTGAGCTGCATCCTCGGCCCCTCCTCACTGCCCTGGACCAGCAGGTGTCCTCCCCTCCTCACCATCAGCCTCGACTCCGTGTCTTCACAACTCCCTCACCAGCCACCTTGTACTCAGGGTCATTTTTAATTTAAACTTTTATCAAGTGTATAAGACATGGTCACTACTGCTGTAAGTGGACACCACGCTGGGCTCCTAGAGCCTGCACGGCTGCAGGATAAGGGTAGATGAACAGGTCCTGGGTCAGGTCCCATGAGAAAGTCTTTTTTTTTTTTTTTGACCACATAAATCTTTAACAATAGATGTAATAATTTGCATAGGTGTTCAGAAAATGAACAGTTTTAAACCTAGTCATTTATGTTCCAGCTGTATTTTCATGAGAAAGTCTTGATTAGAACCAAGGGTGTGGCGCCAGGTGGGAGAGCCAGCTGCCCATGTTCCAACGGGGCAGGTGAGATCCTGCGACGACAGAGAGAAGGGGACACCCGAGACGAGACGACAAACATTTCAACAGGGGCAGCAGCCTTGTCCGGGCTTTGCCACAAAGCAGCACCTTAGCTTGGCCATCTGGACTGTGGCAAGTCTGCACCCTGCCTTGGAGGAACATGCCATTCCACCTCCCCAGTGGTTTATAGGCACTTCTCCTGGACAGGCGGGGAGAGGGCCTCTGCTCA